ACATTCTTCTAATTCGAATCGTAATGTATTATATAATATTGTTTCATGTTCTTCGGTATGAGCTATACCAAAATGAATTGGAACATTTGGTATTAACACAGCACCTCGCAAGCGTAGTTGCCATTGCTAGAATACAATAAAGAAAATTTTGATAAAGAATACTTTTCATTACCTGATTTGGTGACTGTTGATATTGCAATGTACGCTGCAATAGATTTGGATAATTTGTTATAGTAATAAGAAAATATTGATTTCCTGTAACTATTGCTGATGGAACAGGAATTCCAGGTCTATTCGGTGGGTTCATATTATTAACTATTAATAATCTACAATAAATAAGTACGCATATGTAGATAGACCTAGTTCTATGACAAATTTGTTTTTTGTTTGTTTCATTTTTATTAAAAGTGCACAGCATTTCATAAATTACTACAGTTCATTTCAATATATTCTAACAATATGTAGAGAAATATAGAAAAACTATTGTTTTTCCTTTTCTTTCATTCGATTGAATATGAATTTGTTGATTCGTTATCGATTATTGGTTGTTGTTTGTTTTTATTTAAATTTGGTGGCCAATGCATTCCTTGTTGAAGCCATACTGGTGAAAACGAACCTGTCCACATTGATTTCTCGGTATTAATAATAGAAGAGAAATCTAAACGATTGATAGATTGTTTCATATCATCTTGATTCTTCGATGAAAGCATTGTTGTTTTATAATCTAAGATGTGATGATCGATAAGACAATCAACAAATATCTAGAAAACAAATTTATAGAACGAACTAGATTTGTTTGATTTATGCATTCATATAGATCGAACAATGTTGACCTTAATTGTATTTCATAGATCATAACTTATACATGTATATAAACGAATACAAGAAAACAGTAACAAATATTCTCAATAAATAAAAAGAAAAAAAAATAATGTCAACGAATTTATATGTTATAAAGATTATAGCTCTTGTGTTTCAATGTTGGACATATCAAAAACATAATTAATAGGATATGACCTACGGGTTCGAGTAAGATAACCAGTTGCTGCTTCTCTTAGTTCCACTTGTAAGAGATTAGTGAGTATTTGTTCACGATTATTGTTATTCATTGTTTCATTATTCGTAGCACCATTTTGGCCTACAACTGTTGTTTGTATATTTTGTCGTATCTACAAACAATGACATAATTACAATGATTATATTGTTCTTTGTTGTTTTCTACACATATCTCTACTGTACCTGTGGTTGAAATGTTCGAGTTTGTCGCAACAATTCAGGATTGTTCGTAAGAATAATAATAAATTGTCGATGTGGAACACTTGTTGTTCGATGCGAATGTAATGGTGCAACTATTTGTATACGTCTCGATGGACGTGTACTCGATGATCGATGATATGAGGAAGACATTGACGGATAGATTCAGTTATCTGAAATATAAATACATCAATGTTTAGAGAATAACCAATATGAATATGCTTTCTTTTTCATAGTCATTATAATATGAAAAAAAGACCTATGGATATTATTTATTTTAATGAAATTAATTTACAGTTCATTGTAATAATGTTCATAGAAAAAACAAATAAAAGTAAGAAACAT